AAAAACAAAGGCCAACACCAAAATTGAACGGCGTGGTAGTGACCTGTCAATCACCGCGTAGCCCCGCCCTAAAGTATAGCCTACTTTATGGTCTATTTGACTCTAAATGGACCATAATGTACTAAATGAACATCATGCTGTATTGAAGAAGACTTGAAACTAGAGATTGAGACCATAAACTCATGTTTACAATGTTTACTGAGGTAATAAATCAAGAGAGAAGTAGAGTCATTTTCTCATAGACTTCTATACAACCAGAGGAGTCGCCCCCTGATGGACACTAGAGAGAAATAAAGTTTAAGGAACTTCAGCATTGACTTCACTTTTCAGTACCGGAGTTTGTTTCCATTAAAGAATTTCCAAAGAATTCATATAACTTCAAAAAATAAATAACAAAAAACATTAAAGCTGCAAGCAGCATTGATCGGGCCCTCGCATATTCACGCACGTCGAGGTTACTGGTGTGAGGATTTAAAATTAGAAGTGTCTTTTAGGATTTATAGTTAGAAGTGTTTCTTAGTAGGATTTATAGCACCCTTAGAAGTGGATAGTAAAATGTTAGCAAGTACTTGGGTTATACCAAATATGCTTGTAAAGCTTGTCAAAGTTTTTGCCAAAGTTGCAAATTCTTATCAAATGTATAGTATGTTTACAGTATGTTTACCATAGAAGTGTTAAGCCATAAAAGACAGTCATTGAATGTATTAAACTGTGAAGAATAGCCAAGGGTCAGACAGGGATTTTTAGACAGGCATTTACAGGGACACGCAGAAGGAATATCACACCCGCGCCGAGGGTCCTCCAGCTGGCTGATGCGAGAAAGGAGGAGCTAGCTGGATTTAAACCAATAGAAACAAAGACGGACATTTTGTGAACTTTTACGAACTATGAAAGGAGATACAGAGGAAGAATTCTTTCAGTTCCTCTCGTTTCATCTTGTAGGTTGTTACGCTTCCAGGTTGGAATGCGTGTGAACTCTTTTTCGCGAATCATATTTCTATAGATTCTGTAAATAGTGTACTTCACTTTGCAATTGTTTTAGCTTCAGTAGGATTTAATACTTTTGATTGTAAATCAGTTTATGGTAGATTATTATTGAAGCGACTCTACTGTAAAAGACAGTGGAGCGTGACTCGCGGCCCTGCCTCGTGTGGGGAACATTGAAGCCTCCACACTGGCAGGACTGTGGTTGATGCGGCCATGCATTTCTGTGACCATCATACACTGCATGCACGAGTTAAACGGTATTTCCTGTGTCGACAATGGCGTAGCCAGGTCATTTTGCCAGGTCTTAAACCTTGAATGTTTTGAGTGTACCTCCGAATACAATCATAACTGTAAGCCTGTAAAAATCGGCAAACAACTGAATGTGTGTGAACGCGCTTCAGTGTTAGTAACATAACAGACTGTCAAAGTAAATGCAGGTCGTTTGTTTGTGCAGCTAGCTCTGACAATCACTGCTGAGTACCTCACAGCTGGAAGAGTCGAGGAGAAATAGGAGAATGTATAGTTCCATGTGGAAAAAAAACATCTTTTTATAAAGAAATAAGTTTGATCCAAAAGGTGAGCCAATGTAGAAGAATCTATCATACAAATTAGTCTGGGTGCAGTTTGATTTTATTAAACAAACTTCACGTTGCATGAAATTACTTTACATTACGGCCTGGCTCCAAAACAAACAAAAACAATTAAATTGATTATTAATGAAAACTCCACGTACAAGCGCGATTTGGAAACCTTTTTTATCCAATTTCTGCTCTCCAAGCATCTTCGTTTGCACATATTTAGATCAGAGAAGTCTTTTTCTGGTGGTGTGCCGATGAAACCTTTCAATAAGTTCAGTGTTTAGGCCGCTGTAATTATAGAATCCTGCTTACGTCCGTGTTTGCCAGTAGGTGGCGCTATGACTATGAGTTAATATAGGCATGCAGAAGTCATGACAGTCATCAAGCACGTCAAGTTTGGCACAGTTTTGACGAAGTACAGTCAAGTTGAAACAGTTTGATGGATGATGGCGAACCATGTAAAATGGCCACCACATCCACGTCGTTCGATGAAACCTAAAGCTTTGAGTAACTTTTAAAAACTAAGGTCTTTATATTGTTCTGACCAAATTCTAGGCTGATCTGATTAATTCCCTAGGAGGAGTTCATTAAAGTACAGCACCTGGAAATGGCAAAAAAAACAGGAGAAATTCATCCAAAATTAAAAATGGGTGACTTCCGTTTGGGTTTAGAGCAGGGGTATTCAACTAAAATTCCAAAAGGTCCAGATTGAGAAAATCTCCTCGGGCAAAGGTCCGAAACATTACAATAATATCTAACTTGCGCGATTTATTGCCATATATAGAAATATATTCAAGAAGCCTAGTAGTAGTAACATCTCTGTGTAGTCAACAACTGTCAAATCAAATAAAGAAAGTACACATCAATTATATTTTAACAAATTATTATTCTCAGTTTTCAAATTTAACTGGATGGATTATAAATAATACAAATAAATGTTCTTCTCATTTCAAGTACAATAAGGGCTGCATTAAAGAATAACTGACAAAACAGAAAGCTTTTCAAAATGTGCATCTTAAAATAAAGTAATTCATTTTAGAAAAAATTATTTCACTGAATTGTCCTGCAGCTTTAAATTCAGTTCATTCAGGTGTGAAGTGATGTCAATAAAAAAAGCCACAATATTATATTTTTCTCATCTTCTAACAAGATAAATCAGTGAGCATGATCTTTATCTGTGGTTATTAACACTTGTTTCAGTTCTATTCTCCCTGTTAACATCATTGTTGGGCAATGAATTCATGTGTTATGATTCTGATCATATTGAGCTCTTAGGTTTATTTTGTGTCTTCATTTCAGATGTGAGTGGGTACGTTTGTTGAAAAGAGTTGTGCTTTGCCTTGTCGCTTCATTTGCCGCTTTTATCAATAGTTACAGTTTCTGAACATATGATACTGGTTTTAACTGCCTGTGGGGAGAATTAACATATAAGAGTCTGTTCATAATTGCTTATAAATTCTATTCTCTCTGAACACATTTCTCTTTTTGGAGAACGTCATGTGAGATAACTTCTTTGATTAGCTCAATGTTCCTGCTCTTCTTTCTATTTCCTCGTCTCAGCCCCGTGTGTCACGGTGTGTGTAAACCCCGCTCGAGTCAGGAAACTTGTCAGAATACCCATATTTCATTGGCTGAGCTGCATCACCTGATGTGATTTACAACTCATTGGTCAGTGTGTTTCCTGCACCGCTGAACAAGTGCCGTAACGGCTGAATCAAGTGCGCTGGTTAAAGTCCAACTCGCTGCCTAATATGTTTAATTCCGAATTGTCTTTCGGTTCCACGGTCCGGGACCGGATGCAACTGCGTCTGGGTCCGGACCGCGGTCCGCCAATTGGGGACACCTCGTTTAGAGCATGGTCCCAAGATACTTTTTTTAAGTTCAGACGTGATACATCTACCTACCAAATTTTGTAAATCTATGTCAAACGTACTGCGAGGGCTGCTTCGTCGAAATCTTGTAGGGGGCACTATGGAGCCGACTTAACAATCTAAAGCATTAAAATCACATTAGATAACTACATTCAGGATTGTAAATGTGTTTTGACAAGTAGGTTATGTTTTGAGCATGTTTAGCCTCTCAAAAACACCTTAATTTTTCATGGCGAAGAAAGCGTCGCCACGGCAATGGCTTTTCACAAAACAATAAGCTTTGAGTAACTTTTCATCACAAAGGTCTTTAGATTGTACTGACCAAATTTGAAATTGATTCAATTATTTCCCTAGGAGGAGTTCGTTAAAGTACAGCGCCTGGAAATGACAAAAACAACACTAGAAATTCATAAATAATTTCAAAATGGCTGACTTCCGGTTGGGTTTAGAGCATGGCTCCAAGAGATTTTATTTTAAGTCGAAATGTGATTTATGAGCCTACCAAATTTTATACATTTATGTGAAACGTACTGCGAGGGCTGCTTCGTCGAAAGTTTGTAGGGGGCGCTATTGAGCCGATTTGCAACTCTGAACGAATAAAATCATATTATATAACTACATTTTGGGCTTGTAATCTGTGTGCCAAGTTTTCTTATGTTTCGAGCATTTTTTGCCTCAAAATTACCTTCGTTTTTTTCACAGCGAAAACTGCGTCGCCATGACGAAACATCAAAAGCTTCATGAACTGGCATTATGAACTTCTTACATTTGTGTGGAACTAATTTGATGTAGATCTGATATACCTACTAAGAGAAACAAGCCAAAGTATAAAGACTTTAACTTCTTGGCCTCCAGATGTCTTCAGGACTAGAGTCTAATCCAACATGTGAAATCTGGTAAAGATCTGATGATGTGGAGTCGAGTTACATCAGTTTATTCGTTCACGGCGAGGGATTGAAATTCACCGAGCTGCCACGTCGCCGCCCTTCAACAACTTCTTACAATCTTCACAATGAAGCATTATCAAGGTCTTAAGACTTTTCTGACAACATTTTAGAGGGATCTGATTAATCTGTGAGGAGCAGGATGCAAAAGTACACAACCAATAACTTCCTGTTGCTACCAGGTGGAGATATTGCTATGATTCTAAATTGTCATATAGATGTGTTCAAGGTTAGGATTTTATGACATATGAAAAAACGTCAAAAAACGTCATAAAATTCAAAATGGCCGACTTCCTGTTTTGTTAAGTGAATAACTCCAAGAGGATTTTTTGTATGTCCCATCACGTTCCACATACCTACCAAATTGTATACAGCTAGGTGAAACCCAATGTTGGGGCTATTCAATAGGGGGCACTATCGACCCAATATTTCATACACCCTGGACACCCCAATCAGGCTGCAATTTCCGCAAATTCTGCCTTGCGTGGCAAATTTTGAAAACTTCCCAGTATCCCAAGCACTTCCTTTTTGCGACGAAACAGGTACGATAATAATAATAAACATTAGAATAACAATAGGTCCTCCTCTCCGACTACGTCGGTGCTTGGGCCCAAATAAACATTAGAATAACAATAGGTCCTCCGCTCCGACTATGTCGGTGCTCGGGCCCTAAATATAGCCTCTATTGCTGATTGGGTTCCAGTCTCAAATCCGGCAGTACCAGGGGGTTCATTTGGGTCAAGTAGGCGCAGATATGGAACGGTTTCAGGTCTTTCAGGTGTTAGGCCAGGGCAGAACTCTAGGTTTTTGGCCTCTGTCGATTTAGTGTGTTAACTAGAGAAGTATAACTATGATAAACTGTCATAGTAATAATCTATCATTTCAAAGCCAGATAACATCCTGGTATAACGTTCTGTAATTTTATTAACGTTCTCCTTTATGGGTCATGAATGAGATATGAATTGAAATACAAGATAAAAGTTACCCTCTGCCTACCGTTGTACAGACTCTGGTGGTGGGGGGCCATCTCCTCTCCTGCTGTCATCCTCTGATCCTCGTCCCTGCCGGGGGAGCCACTGCCATACCTCCCCTTGCCGTGCTCTGCCCCGGGGCTGTGCTGATAGTGGTAGTGGTGCCGTATAGACTGTGGACTACCCAAGATCACTCGCCCTTTCCTCAGGTGCTCGGGCGTCCCCATCGCTGCCATCTTGGCCTCGGGACCCCCGCAGCCCACCCCCGCCATGTTGACCGATCGGTGTCTCTGACTCAGCTCAGGGCTAGACTTGGCCGAGCTCTTCCCTCCACCCGGTGACACCTGTCCCGACAACAATAGCTGTTTGTGGGCTAACAGGTCAGACCTGCAGGGTTTGGCGTGGGAGTCGCACGGTAGCCTTGTGGGGGACTTGCTGTGTTTCTCCTGGCTGCGTCCCCGAGGGCCAAGAGGGTCCAGGTTGGTGAGGGAGCCCCCGCGGGGGCGGCAGGACTGGGGGAAGGTGTGGTACTCTGGGGTGGAGCTGTGCCTCCTGCCGGTGGATTTGCACATGTCTCCCGGTTTGTGGGTGTGCTCCGAGGGGACGCACCTCGATCCTGGGCTGGCGTTGGAGCCCAGCTGAGATGGTTTTCGGTGGGGGTTGTCTGGGATATCGTTGCTCCCTGCGCTGGAGGTGCTGCTCCCATCGCCGACGTCCCGCAGCAGGCCAGACGCTGGGACCCCCCCACCCAGCTGAAACAGACTGTCAATGGAGCTCCTACGTCCGGGACCTCCGTGCCCTCCGCCTCCGGCCACGGCCGCAGCCCTCTCCTCCTCCAGCATGAGGCACACCTCCTTGAGCTCCAGGTTTTCCCAGACAACCTCAACCTGCCGCTGCTCCAGCTCCTTCAGCTTCTGCAGGTAGATGGACATCTCCTTCCTCATCAGGCCGGCGCTGTAGCGGCCGAGGCGCTGCCACTCCCGCGACACCCGCTTCCCCTTCTGCCGGTCGTCGTCCAGGAAGCAGCACAGGTCCCGCAGCTCCTGGTTGTCCTCCTGCAGTTTCTGGTTCACGTCCTGGTTTATACATATAGGCGCTCACACACACACACACACACACACACAGAGCAGCACAGTGAGGGATTACATGCACACTCCTGCTGGGATTGATCAGTTATCGAGTGAAAATAGACAGACAATTTATATGCAACTATTTTGCTAATCGTTTGAGTTGCTTTTCAAGCAAAAAAAGATAAACATTCTCTGGTTCCAACTTCTCAAATGGGAGAATTTTGCAGCTTTTCCTCGTCTAATTAGTTTCTTAGACAGTTGACAAAACATGTCTTTTGAAAGTGTCAGATTGTGACGGGCTTTTTCCACTGTTTGCTGACAGTTTATAGGCAATGAGTTCAATGTCAGATTAACCAATAATAAAATCAGGGCTGCAACTAGTGACTATTTTCATTATGTATTAGTCTGCCAATTATACACGAATAACATCTAAAGCAATGACAAAGATATCCCAACTTCAAATATCTGGTTTTGTCCGACCAACATAAAAAAATAACTAAATATGTTTTTGTGATTATGATATAAAACAGCAAAAAGCAGTGAACCTCAAATTGAAGATGTCGGACCGGAGAATAAGAAGTATTTGTAATTACATTTTTTTTATTAAGATAGCAGCCGATAAACTTTCTTAACTCGTTAATTCGATGAATGACTTCAGCTCTGAATGAAATGATTATTAGCTGTTTTCTTGACTAGACTTAAAGATATTAGATATAAATATTCTAAACACAATGTGTAACTGATGGCTACACCAACAAACGTTTTGTGGACCAATGAAGGCAACAAGTTATCCATTTTTTTGATATACTCTGGGCACCAAAATCCACTTTATATGTAATGAATATATTATAAATTAATTGACACGAGCATTGACCATTCCAACAAGTCTGTATATCTCTAAGCAACATGATTAATGATTTTATAACCTTAACTATTTAGTGACCAATTTGCGCTGAACTGACAAACTATAAATGTGCCATATATCTCAGACGTCTTGCTCTGTTATTGATCCATACGCATCCACATCAGCATGCTCATTGCAGCACACACCCATCTTACCTTTAAACTCCGGATCTCGTTCAGGTGCTGCTGGAGTCTCCGGTTCACCTCCCGCATCAGATTGCTGTGCTCCACGATGGCGCTCCTCTTCCCCGCCTCCGCCCTCCGCAGCCGCCGTACCAGCTCCTCTTTGCCCCACTTCAGCAGCTCCTCGTCGTTCATTTTGGAGATGTCCTCTGCGGGACTCTCCGCGCTTTTGGACTGCTGCAGCTGCTGCGCGCCTTTCTCCATCCTTTTTCAACAACAGAGGTTTGGCAAAAAATAAATAAAAAGTAATGTGTTTAGTGAATTCCGGAGAACGAGACAGCAAACCAAGCCCCCCATCCCAAAATAAATCGAATACACCCAGGACAACTCCGATCCAAATCGCTATTTGGGTTCCCCCCCCCAACCCACCCTTCCTATGACCGTTGAATCACATCGCTTCCCCAGCTGCGCCTCTCTCCCACGCCCATGCTGCAGCTCCAGGTGCTCCTGCTGCTAAATCCCCGCCGTTAGAGCGTCAGTCCGCATGCTGCTGCTGCTGCGTCTCCGGCTGAGCCCTCCGACGGCTTGGCGGGGCGGTTTTTCTCCAGGTGCATGCCGGCGCCTTTTTGCGCACTCCCGCCGTCGCTCAGTGAGCACTACCTGCGCTGTTCGACCGCCGGGGAGGAGAAGGGGGAGGGGGAGGGTTGCAGGTGCATAGCCGGAGAGAAGAGGTGCGTTACTGTGGAGAACAGACTCTCTCTTCTCTCGCTCCGTCACCGGCTCTCTCCTGACGCATCTTTGTCATGTTGCGCCATCTGCTGCGGCTGAAAGATAAATGTACTGCAGAACACCTTCTCTAAATACTCATTTGACCTTCTCTAGTATTTTTATATTGATATTTAGTTTTCCTCATATTGTGTCCTCACCCTCTTCAGCTCAATCAGCTCCCCTCTTGTTCGGACAGAACAAACAAAAAAAATTAAAGAATAAACTAGAAATGATGGTGGGAAAGTAATGCTGCTCGGACAATAAAATGAAAAATGAACAAACAAACTGTATGAACTCACTGCAAATAAATATACTAATAACAAAAATATATTTATTACTCTAATTATATTTAGAAGATACTGCACAGTGTGGTCCGAACGTATTTGGACAGTGACACCAGCTCAGAGGATTTGAAACAATTACTGTCAGCTCTAAAGTTCAAGAACAGTTCAGGTTTTCGAAGTCTTTTCCTGTCAATTCTCTGCCTCCACCCGAGAACAGTGAAGATGAATCAATACATTTTGTTTGCGATGTTCGCAGCATTCAAAGGATTTCATGAATTCAAGAGTCTATATTCTGCACAAGCCAACAGTTCTCATTGGGACCATTTCCTCAAGGGAGTTTCAAAACTTTGAGGTCTAAGAATTATTGAAAGAAACAGGACGCCCTAACTAAGAGTCCATGTTTGAGATTTTTTAAACAACAAATTTATACTTTTAGCACGGAGGCAGATTTTCCTTAAATATCAGGAAAGCATCATACACATGTGGTCAAATTAAACAACAGCTTTCTTGTACTGCTGTGCCAGCATGAACACACACACACAAACACACATATATATAAATATATTCAATTTTAATTCAATATATTTTGTATAGCCCCAAATCACAAATTTGCCTCTTTTGCTGGGCTTTACAATCTGTATGCGACATCCTCTGACTTTAGACCCTCACATCGGAACAGGAAAAACTCCCAAAAAAAAACTTTAAAGGGGAGAAAAGAGGAAGAGACCTTAGAAAGCAACAGAGGAGGCATCCCTCTCTCAAGATGGACAAAAGTGTGAAAGATGTCATGTGTAGAAAATGAACATACCAGAGTTACAACACATTCAATGCTTATGACAGAAATGATTCATATAATGAGAGTAAGCAGAATAATGATGAAAACATGACTAAGAACAGCAGAAGTGGATATAGTAGAATAATAATAATAACAAAAGCAGTAATGGTATCGGCAATAGCAAGCAATGTGACTACTAATAAAGATAGTAGCAGTGGGTGTCAGCGGGGCCATGGCAGGAGGAATGACCAGGGTCCAGATAAAAACACTATCCATGGAAACCTGCAAATGGAGAAAGCACAAAAACTCTGAGGAAGAAGCAAAGTTAGTAATATGGATTAATGGAACATGAATTCATACAGAAGAGCAGAGAGAAGCTCAGTGCATCCTAGGAAGTCCTCTAGCAGTCTAGGCCTACAGCAGCTTATCTAAGGGCTGGTCCAAGGCAAACCTGAACCAGCCCTAACTATAAACCTGAACCAGCCCCAACTATAAACCTGAGCCAGCCCCAACTATAAACCTGAGC